GCTCTTCACTAGGTGCGGGCACTCTGGCTTTCCACACAGTCTGGGATCAACGGGGTGTCCACAGATGGGGACCAACTTGGTGTCCACAGGTACGGGGACAACGGGGTGTCCACAGGTGGGGGACAACGGGGTGTCCACAGGTGGGGGCCAACGGGGTGTCCACAGTGCGGGACAACGGGGTGTCCACAGGTACAGGGACAATGGGGTGTCCACAGTGCGGGACAACGGGGTGTCCACAGGTGCAGGGACAACAGGGTGTCCACAGGTGGGGGACAACAGGGTGTCCACAGGTGGGGGACAACGGGGTGTCCACAGGTGGGGGACAACGGGGTGTCCACGGGTGTGGGGACAATGGGGTGTCCACAGGTGCAGGGACAACGGGGTGTCCACAGGTGCAGGGACAACGGGGTGTCCACAGGCCGAGGAACCACAGTGAATACAAAATTAACTCAAAATTGGTCAGATGCCCACGACTGCCCGACTCCCAGGAGAGAAGACAGGGCAGACGCCCCACAGCGCCGTGCTCACTCAGGGCTTCCTGGACAGAACTGCGCGCTCAGGCCACGAAGCCAGCAAGTCGGATCCTTTCAGAAACGTGTATTCACAGTTCAGCTTTTGATTGCTGTGGTAGGAACCTACCAGAGTTTGCTTAAATGTATCAACTTGGTGTAAATGTTCACCCACTGAAGAAATCTTGTTTCTAGTTTTTGTCTATTTCACATAAAACTGCTATGAAAATGCACATAAAGAAAGAGACTGATCTGAAAAGCAGAATGACAGGCAGAGAGGGAGAGGCAGAAACAGCGATCTCCCATCCGCTGGTCACTCCCCACATGGCTGCAGCAGCTGGGGCTGGGCCAGGAGCTCCACGGGTGCTCCCACGTGGGCGGCCAGCACATGCCACGGCAACCCCCAGTGCTGTCCAAAGGGGCGGCGCTGGCCTGGCACAAGCCCCTGGGTACCTCTGACGGCTCTGAACAGAGCATCCAGGGTGACACTGACACACGGGGACACCCACGGCCGACGAGGTCCTCTATGGGGCAGGGCACAGATCAGTAGGAGCGCGCACGCCCAGTCTGTCCTCTGCACAAACCGGGGCGAGGACGAAGATGGCAGTGGAGAGCTTACACTGAACTAGGGGAGCCCTGACCAGAGGAGACAACACGGTCTTGGGTACAGAGAGTGTGGCTACTGATGGAGCAAGCACGTCTCTCCCAAACCCAGCAGGAACCATTCCCACGGGATGGACAACAGCATGCACTCGTGGGCTCCACCCATGTCCCAGACCCCAGGACACCCAGCAGAGCTGACGGAAGCCTCCCGTGGGTCACCCCTCCAACCTCAGGGCACCCAACTCAGCAGCCGGGGCGGAAAGCCTAAGCCTGGCCACCGCGGCCGTCCCCTCAGGCAGATCTGTCAGTGGAATTACGAATCTGCCGTCCGGGTGAGCTGTCGTACCCTGGGCGGCCACACGGGGGCCCCGCGTCTGCAGGCAGGTATGGGTTTGCCTCTGCCTGCAGGACCAGCGGGCCCCAGCCTTTTCTTGCTCTCAGGGAGGTCCTGCTGCCCACCCAGGGCTGCCAGCCTGGAGATGTGCAATGACAGAGCACGCTGGGAGCAGACCTCCTCTCCCCCCGTCCCCACGTGGTGCGGGGCTCCGAGCGGGCAGGACACAGAGCACTGGGACCCACAGTACGGAAGCAGAAGCGTGCTGAGCGCCACAAGCCAAGCAGCCGCTGCGGGCAAGGGGTGTTCGTGCCTGCGTCCCCTCCCCGCAGGCCGCACAGCTAGGGAGGCCCTGGCCCGTGGAGGCCCAGTGAGAGCCAGCTGCGGCTCCGCATGCCAGCTGTCAGGTAAGAGAGGAGGCGGTGCTCTGAGCGGCAGGTGGCAAGACCACCTCGGGGAGCCGGGGCGAGGTCGGGGCCTCACTCATCCTTGGGTTCCCCGGCCTGAGTGGGTACACGGCAGTGGGAAAGGGCTGGGGGACCCAGGTTCTGCCCGAGGCAAAGCAAGACCAGGAGGATCACCATCAGCCAGGGGAAGAGATGCCCGACGGGCAATGGAGGAGGAAGACAAGGACTACAGGGACAGCCCTGGACCACGGGCAGGGTGAGGGCCGTGCTCCACCTGGCAAGGCTTCCAGAACACCCAGCACCTGTGCAGGGGTGAGGGCAGGCGCGGGGCGGATGCGGCTCTCAGCCTTGGCGGACACCCCAGTGCTCTGCCTTCCCAGAGCCGCCCAGGCCTCCACTGCCTGCCTCCTTCCCTCACTGCCCGCCGGTGACCGCCAAGTCTGGCCCATCTGTGCCACAGCAGGCATCAGGACGGCAGCCAGCGGGAGGTGACCCCTGAGCCTACACTTCTCACACACCTTCTTCTCTGCCTCCCTCCCTCCCTCTCCTAAGAAAACCCCACACACACACTGGCCACACACAACCAATACCCCTACACACACCTGCCACACACAACCAATACCCACACACACACCAGCCACACACAACCAATACCCACGCACACACTGACCACACACAACCAATACCCACACACACACCAGCCACACACAACCAATACCCACGCACACACTGACCACACACAACCAATACCCACGCACGAAGACCAGCCACACACACACACCAGCCACACACACACACACCAGCCAGTTTCAGGCTCTGCTGCTGCACTTCACAGCCAAGGGCTGACTTCCGTAAGGAGCTACGAGCAGTGGGAGCTGCCTGGAGGGACAGCCTCCAGCCGCACCTGGAAGCACCAACTGTGACAACGCCTTACGGCACAGACTGGCAAGACCAACGGCCTCGCGCGTGGCGCTGTGCCTGGGCTGCAGAGCGGTCCTCTGGGACACCAGCACGGGCAGGGCTCTAGGCCCCGACGAAGAGCCGCCGGGAAACGTCTGGCAAGTTAAGAAGGAACTCAACCCGTCTGAAACCCAGAAAAGCCACTCTGGGATTTTTCCTATGTAAATTTACCCACAGTCAAATGTGTGTGACTCAGGAAACAACCTAAACATGTACGAAAGGTCACTGGTTAAATACAACTCGGTATCTCTCTCTGAGGAAGTCCCGTGCAGCCATCAGAACGATGGGGCAACTTCACGTGCCCCTCCGGGAATGCACGGAGACATGGGGACACATCACTGGCTGCAGAGAGCAAGGCGGGGCCGGCGCTGTGGTGCAGCGGGTAAAGCCTCCGCCTGCAGCGCTGGCATCCCAAATGGGCACCGGTTCAAGTCCCGGCTGATCCACTTTCTTTTTTTTTTTTTTTTGACAGGCAGAGCGGACAGTGAGAGAGAGACAGAGAGAGGTCTTCCCTTTTTTGCTGCTGGTTCACCCTCCAATGGCCGCCGCGGCCAGCACGCTGCGGCCGGCGCACCGCGCTGATCCGATGGCAGGAGCCAGGTGCTTCTCCTGGTCTCCCATGGGGTGCAGGGCCCAAGCACTTGGGCCATCCTCCACTGCACTCCCGGGCCACAGCAGAGAGCTGGCCTGGAAGAGGGGCAACCGGGACAGAATCCGGCACCCCGACCGGGACTAGAACCCGGTGTGCCGGTGCCACAAGGCGGAGGATTAGCCTAGTGAGCCACGGCACCGGCCTGCAGCTGATCCACTTTCAATCCAGCTCTCTGCTATGGCCTGGATGGCTCAAGTCCTTGGGCCCCTGCACCCGCACGGGAGACCCGGGTCTTCCTGGAGCTCCTGGCTTCAGATCAGCTCCGGCCGTTGCAGCCATTTGGGGAGTGAACCAGTGCATGGAAGACTTCTTTCTCCCTCCCTCCCTCTCTCTCTCTGTAACTCTGCCTCTCAAATAATAAATAAATTCTTTAAAAAAAAAATAAATAAAGGAGCAAGGGCAGGAGCAGGCGCTGTGGCACAGTAGGTTCAGCTGGATCCAGCTTCCTGCTATGCGCCTGAAGTTAGCGAAACACGGCCCAAGTATCTGGGCTCCTGACGTCCATGTGGGAGACCACCGTGGGGTTCTGGGCTCCTGGCTTCAGCCCGGCCCAGACCTGGCCTGGCAGCCACAGCCATCTAGACAATAAACCAGTGCGTGGAAAATCTCTCTCCCCGTGCCTTTCAAATACGTAAATTAACAAAAAGAAAAACAGAAAAGAAACTGGTGCCTGAGGTTCTTCCCAGAGGAACGACCACATCTCACCAGGGACCAGTCTGAACTCCGGACTTCTGAGCCACGGACGTGATTACACGTTCAGCTTAAACACACTGATAAACAACAGCAGCTCACCAAGAAGCTCCTCGGATTTGGACTCAGAGATGTGATTCGTGGCCACTGCACCCCGGGAACCACGTGAACGCTGCAGCCGCACGCAGCAGGCACTCCAAAGACAGGGGCGAATTCCCTCTCTACTCCACTGGTCACGTCCGTCACAAACACAGGGCACCTTCCAGGAGGCCGCCCGGAGTGTGGGGGCTGTCTCCTCACCACTGTCACTGCTTCCATTTTATCAACGCCAGAAAGTGCAGTCGTAAAAGGCTTTTTCATACAGAAAAACCAACCATCTCCCATCCCAGCCAGGGCAACCCTGGAAGCCACGAGCAAGAGGCAGCCTCGCCGAGGCTGCTCCTCTGGATCCAGGCCAGGCGTCTAATTCCCAGGTCCCATCAGCTGGGGCGTCACCTGCTAACTCCCGGTTACATCACCGCTGCCGCCTCCCTCCCCTCTTCCTCACAGCCGAGCCAGTCTCCTTCATCGCCACTTAGTGCTTGTGTCACTTTGTCACACATCTTCCACGTCACTGCCGGGCCAAGCAGTAAAGAAATCAGCAGTCTGTTCACGCACAGCCTTTCTTTATAGTTAAGTTTTCACTTTGACATGATGGTAAATTTGCACGCCGCAGGGCAGTGTGCGCCCTTTCCCCGCCGCCCGAGGCCACCTCCTGCCGCGCCCCACAGCAGTGCAGCTACGTGTGGGTTTCTGAGAAGCTGACAAACCCTTTTCCTCAACAGCTGCACTGTTTCCCACCGTCACCAGCAACCTGAGGGACTCCACTCCTCCGGGCCCTGGGTCCTGGCCTCGCCTGGGGCTCTCACTGTCCCACCGAGCCCTTCCGTGTCTGTGTCCTGACGGCTCACTGCGGTTTTAACGTCCGCGTCTCCAACGGTTGGCAGATTTCATGTGCTTATCTGCCGCCTGTGCATTCTCTTCCAGGAAATGTCTTTCTTTTATCCATGTTCTAATTGATTGCTCTTTTACCGTTGAGCTTTAAGAGTTTTTAGGGGCCGGTGCTGTGGCATAGAGGGTAAAGCCACCACCTGCAGCACTGGCATCTCATATGGGCACTGGTTCAAGTCCCAGCAGCTCTACTTCCAATCCAGCTCCCTGCTATGGCCTGGGAAAGTAGTGGAAGATGGCCCAAGTCCTTGGGCCTCTGTACTCAAGTGGGAGACCTGGAAGAAGCTCCTGGCTCCTGGCTTTGGATAGGTGCAGCTCTGGCTATTGCAGCCATCTGGAGAGTGAACCAGTGATGGAAGACCTCTCGCTCTCTCTCTCTACCTCTACCTCTCTATAACTCTTTCAAATAAATAAATAAATCTTTTTAAAAAATGATTTTAAGTATTGTTTTTCCTGCTCATACAGATTTTAAAATAATCTTGTTTACAGCTACAAAAAAATTTTATCGAGAGCTTGACAGGAATAGTTATCATTCACTTTTTTCTTTTGGATAGGCAGTTAGAAAGTGAGAGAGAGAGACAGAGAGAAAGGTCTGCCTTCCGTTGGTTCACCCCCTAAATGGCTGCCACGGCCGACACACTGCGCTGATCCGAAGCCAGGAGCCAGGTGCTTCCTCCTAGTCTCCCATGCGGGTACAGGGCCCAAGCACTTGGGCCATCCTCCTCTGCCTTCCCGGGCCACAGCAGAGAGCTGGACTGGAAGAGGAGCAACCAGGACAGAACCTGGAGCCCCAACCAGGACTAGAACCCGGGGTACCAGCACCGCAGGCAGAGGATTAGCCTAGTGAGCCACGGTGCTGGCTAGTATCATTCACTTTTAATCACTTTACATGAACTTGGAGGGAACTGACACACGAACTTGGCTGGGTCTTCCAATCCATGAACATGGTATGTCTCTCCATCCATTCAGATCTCTGCTGGTTTCCATCAGTGCTGTGTCCTTTTCAGCATGCAAACACCATACATGCTTTGTAACATTTATACTTAAGTGTTTCAGTTTTTGGCAACTGTAAGTGAAAAGGCATTTTTAAACTTTGGTGTTCACATAGTCCTTGTTCCTTTATCTTGTTTTCTGGGTTTTTATCAGGAACGGGTGTTGCATTTTCTCAAACGCCTTTTCTATGCTGGCTGATAGGATCATGAGGTTTTTCCTCCCTTTGCTTGTTAATATGATGGGTTCCATTTTTTAATACCGAGCCAACCTAGCATCCTGGGAGTCAACCCCACTGTCGTGGTGTATACTTCTCATACGTTACGGAATGCTATTGGCCAGCATTCTGAGAAAGGGCTTTGTGACTCTATTTTATTTACACTGTTTTCATCTGATTTTGTATCAGGGTGATACTGCCTTCAGAAACTGAGTCAGAACGTGTTCTCGCCCTGTTTTTCTGGAAGATATTGTGTAGAATGAGATAAGAGGTTGTAGAGAAATGGTGCTAATTCTTTAGATGTTTGCTAAGACTTCCTGGTGAAATCATCTGGGCCTGAAGAAATCTTTTATGGAAGTTTTCATATTTTTAAAGAAGAGTTTAGTTAGGGGCTGGTGCCATGGCGTGGCAGGTTAAGCTGCTGCCTTGCGACGCCAGCATTCCATGTGGGCGCCGGCTCATGTCCTGGCTGCTCCACTTCAGATCCAGCTCCCTGCTAATGCTCCTGGGAAAGTGGAGGAAGATAGCGCGTGCATGGGCCCCTGCACCCACACAGGAGACCCAGAAGAGGCTCCTGGCTCCTGGCTTTGGTTGCGGCCATTTGAGGGGTGAACCTGCAGATGGAAGATCTCTGTGTCTCCCTCTCTCTGTCTCTTATCTCTGCCTTTCAAATAAAATAAATAAATCTTTTTAAGAAAGATTTAGTTAGTTAGTTATTTGAAAGAATGAAAGAGAGGGACAGAAGGCAAGAGGTCTCCCATCCTCTGGCTCCTTACCCAAATGCCACAACAGTCAGGGTTCATCCAGGCCAAAGCCAAGGGCTGGACACTCCATCCTGGTCTCGCATGTGTGTGGCAGGGAACCAAGGACTTGGGCCATCCTCTGCTGCTTTCCCAGGTGCATTACAGGGAACTGGATCAGAGGCGGAGCAGCCAGGCCTACCAGCACTCCGATATGAGACACTGGCGTGGCAAGCTGCTGTTCAAACTGCTGCACCACGAAACCAAGCACTGGCAGTTTTCAAATTAGATGATGAATTTCTGTGCTAGGTCTAGGGCTACCCAAGCCACCCACCACACCTGCGACGCGCAGCGGCCGGGGGCTCCAGGAGCTGGTCCATTTCCTGGCCGTGCTTCTGTGTGCTCCCCCTGCAAGGCCCGGCATCGAGGAATGCCGCCGCTCCCTCTGCTGTCCAGGCTTCTGGCAAGAAACCCGCTGTGATCCGAGCTGCCCTCCGGGGGCGGAGCGTTCACGTGTCTTCACACCTCAGAAGCTTCACTCTGCTGTCTCGGCGTGGATTCTGTCTGTGGTTGCTCGGGGCAGTGCCGCCCTCACAAAATGGATCTCTCGGTCACTCATTTGTCCAATTAGAGACGTTCCAGCCATTCCGACCCGAGCGTCCTCCCCTCCATTGGGGACAGGACTGGGGCCAGCCCAGCCCGTGCTGGCTGTGTCAGGCCCTCGGAGTCGCTTGGTCTGGCCTTTGCCAAGGCAACTGCAGGTGGCACTTGGAATTCCCTAAGTCTAGAGCAAGCTCATTCTTAAGCTGACAACTTTGTGTGGCCCACGAATGATGCTATAAATACCACAGGGCCCTGGCAGGAAACAGGCTCCCAGCCCTGCTCCAGGCCCTCGGGAGGAGGGGCCACCACCTCCTCACCCCAGCTGGAGCCGCCCTGGACAGCTGGGAGGGGGCTCTGCTCTTCACAGCTGGCGTGGCAGCCCCTCGGGGGGTCTCCACTGATACCCAGATTCCCCAGGGCTCCCTAGGGGGCTGCTGCCGTCTGCAGGGATGAAGGCCCTGCTGCCCACTCGGCCTGCCCGCTGGTGGGCACAGGCAGGCCAGTGTTTCCGGTCATTCTTGGCGCCCCTGGGTTGCTGGCTCCTCAGCTCCCAGGCTGGGCTGCGTGAGGCCAAAGCAGAACCTCAAACCTCGCCACATGGCCTGAGGTCCCAGCCAGCCTGCTTTCCAGCTTTTGGGGGTCCTCCTACGGGGCTGCTTACCAGACGTGCCGGGAGACCACACGCACTGCCCAGCAGGACGGACAAGCTCGTCTGCTCCACCTTCCCTCAGGACAGGAGCCAACCGCTCGCCTGTTTCTCTGGGGGAGCCCGGCTCCCTGTGCCCGTTCCCACACCCCCGCTCTCCGACAGCCGTCAGCAGCTCGTCCCCACACCCACGGCGAGGTCCGCACTGCCCTCCCAGAGACGCTAGCTTGCTCCTCACATCCTCGTCCTCCACGGCCGCCCTTTTCTGTTTTATTCAATGATGGCGTACGTTTGAGCATCTTCCTGTGAATCCGTGGACTCTGCACCAGCGCTGTGTTATAAATAACAGGTGAGTCTGAGGGACTTCCGGCACTGCACCACAAACCCGTCACACCTCCCCCGTGACTCCCGGACAGGCTCAGGTGCTGCTGCTTTTCAGACCTGGGCCTCGTGGGGGCGCCGTCGAGTCCATCAGTGAATCCTGCAGCACGCTCGGGGCTCCGAGCTGACAGCTCCCTCCCACTCTCCTTCATCTTCAATCTTCATCCCACGGTTGCAGCTGGAACCTCCTGGATCCGTCTACTTTCTTTCTTTGTCTTCTGGTTATTCTTCCTGGGAGTTTTTTTGACTTTTATCTTCCAACCCCTCTACTGAATTTTTTAAGAAACACACTTCTAATGCCAACAGCTCTTCCCTCACTTTTTCTTGATTTAAGTGTAGAATCTCGGGGCCAGCATTGTAGCACAGCCGGCTAAGCTGCCGCCTGCAATGCCAGCATCCCATGTGGGCACCAATTCCAGTCCCGGCTGCTCCACTTCTAATCCAGCTCCCAGTCAGTGAGCCTGGGAAAGCAGCAGAAGATGGCCCAAGTGCCTGGGCACCTGCACCCACATGGGAGACCCGGATGGAGTTTCTGATGGAGCGAGGTCAAGGAGCTTTGGGTCTGTGCTGACCTCTCTCCCGCACACAGCAAGCAGGCCCCATTTCTCCACCTGCTAGCACAGCCCCCACACCTGCACTGCTGGGCTCTCCACCAGCGGAGGAGTCCAGCCGTCAGCTCCTCCCAAGCTCTCTCCCCTCTCCCAGCTCAGCAGCTCGGCCCCAGGGTCCAGCCCCAGCCAGCCCCAGCCCAGCCCCTCCCAGCTCACCCTGTGACCTCCCAGGACCTCGCCATCCGGCCTGAGCTCCCCCTCCATCTCGGCAGCCCAGCTTTAGCTCAGACCCCCAGGCCCCTTCCCGCCACTCTGTGCTATAAGAACCGCTAGTCTGTAAGGGAGGGGCTCGCTCTCTGCTGCGCCTGCACCTGGGACGGAGCCCCCCAGGCTTCACCCTTCCGAGCAGACCTGGCCTGGCTGTGGCTGCATGCTCTGTCTCTTCTGACAGCTTCAGGCTCCTGGCTTTGGCCTGGCCCAGCCCTGGCCGTTGTAGCCATTTGGAGTCAACCAATGGATGCAAGATTTCTCTTTCTCCCTCTCTAACTCTTCAAATGAATAAATCCTTTAAAAAATAAAATTAGGGGCTGGCACTATGGCATAGTGGGTAAAGCCGCTGCCTGCAGTGCCAGCATCCCATATGGGCACCGGTTCAAGTCCCTGCTGCTCCACTTCCAATCCAGCTCTCTACTATGGCCTGGGAAAGCAGAAGATGGCCCAAGTCCTTGGGCCCCTGCACCCATGTGGGAGACCTGGCTCCTGGCTTCAGATCAGCGCAACTCTGGCTGTGCGGCCATTTAGGGAGTGAACCAGCAGATGGAAGACCTCCCTCTCTCTCTCTGCCTCTGTGTGACTCTGCCTTTCAAATAGATAAATAAATCTTTAAAAAATAAATAAATTTTAAAAAGTAGAATCTTGTCATTTCACCATCAGTATAACCACTTAAGTTCTGAAAACAGTACATACAGTTTTGTATGTGATCCACGAGATTATAATGGAATGAAAAAGTCCCTTTGCCGAGTGACACCAGAGCTGCCTCATGCTGTAGCACAGCACAGCCCTACGTGCACATGGCCGTGTGCGTGTAAACACACCCAGGGCACTACCAGCCACAGGATGGCACACACCAGCAGCTGGGGCGGATGACATTGAGCGACTGTGACGCACAGCTGGGGATGGCTGACACTGAGCAACTGTGACACACAGCTGGGGCAGCTGACGCTGAGCGACTGTGACACACAGCTGGGGACGGCTGACGCTGAGCGACTGTGACACACAGCTGGGGATGGCTGACGCTGAGCGACTGTGACACACAGCTGGGGCAGCTGACGCTGAGCGACAGTGACGCATAGCTGGGGGCTGACACTGAGCTGCTGTGACACACAGCTAGGGACGGCTGACGCTGAGTGACTGTGACGCACAGCTGGGGATGGCTGACACTGAGCGACTGTGACACAGCTGGGGATGGCTGATGCTGAGCGACTGTAATACACAGCTGGGGCAGCTGACACTGAGTGACTGTGACACACAGCTGGGGGCTGACGCTGAGTGACTGTGATGCATAGCTGGGGGCTGACACTGAGCCGCTGTGATGCACAGCTGGGGACAGCTGACGCTGAGTGACTGTGACGCACAGCTGGGGACAGCTGACACTGAGTGACTGTGACGCACAGCTGGGGATGGCTAACGTTGAGCGACTAACACACAGCTGGGGGCTGACGCTGAGCGACTAACACACAGCTGGTGATGGCTGACGCTGAGCAATTGTGATGCACAGCTGGGGACGGCTGACACTGAGTGACTAACACACAGCTGGGGACGGCTGACGCTGAGTGACTGTGATGCACAGCTGGGGGCTGACGCTGAGTGACTGTGACGCACAGCTGGGGGCTGACGCTGAGTGACTGTGATGCACAGCTGGGGGCGGCTGACGCTGAGTGACTGTGACGCACAGCTGGGGGCGGCTGACGCTGAGTGACTGTGACGCACAGCTGGGGGCTGACGCTGAGTGACTGTGACGCACAGCTGGGGGCGGCTGACGCTGAGTGACTGTGACGCACAGCTGGGGGCGGCTGACGCTGAGCGACTATGACACACAGCTGGGGGCGGATGACGCTGAGTGACTGTGATGCACAGCTGGAGGTGGCTGACGCCGAGTGACTGTGACACCAGCTGCGGTACACAGCTGACAGCTGAGTGCATCTTGCTTCTAGATGTGGCCACTGGAAGACAGTGTGCTGTGCTGCACTGGCACAGCCTCCTGATGGCACCAGGAGGCCACATCCAGTCACCCACCTGTCCTGTCTTTGCTTCTGGGAGTGTGCTCTTTGTGATGGTCACACACAAGCACCAAGTCACCCGCGACGCGTCAGGGGATCCGCGCCTGCATTTTACAGCTTCTTCCCTTATCTTCCACATGGTTGTTTTTCATTCACACTGAGTTTCTGGGTTTGTCTTGCACTCTGACTTTTGGTTAAAGTCTTCCCCAGAAGCTGCAAGGAGGCTTGGAAAGGCTGAGGAAGCCGCACGCGGGTGGGCATTACCAATGCTGGGGCACCCATCCAGCTGAGGTGGTACTCCCCCGGGGCCCCCAGCCAGTACCCTTCCATGGTCATCCTGGCTGCAGGCGTCCTGGAGGCTGTGGAGGGGGGTCCCCACCACTGACACTTGCATCTTTGGCCTGTGTCCCTCCCTCCCAGGGGCTGGGGGTGAGCAAATCAGAGCTGGGCCATGTGACAGCAGAAATCCTTCCTACAGGCATTCAAGCTGCCCACGCCCCTGGAGCCCCTGATCCCGTGCCCTGCACTGGCCTCGGAGGCAGCCACGTTGGCTCCAATGCAGCCATCTCCCCCCAACAACCCCTCCTGTCCATCCTGCCATCTCCCCTCCCCCCACCTCCGACTCTGTGGCCCTAGGGGAGGGACTGCCAGTCCACCCTGCACATCACATAGCTTAGGGCACAGGCCCTTCACAACAGCCACCGAGTCAGGCCTGGGGCCCCAACCCTTGGGGCAACCTGCACCATAGCCCTAGGGCCTTGCCCAGTGACTCCTGCCCTCTGCAAACTGCAGGAGACCTGAGCTTCCTCCCAGCCCTACAACCCTCTGCCAGTGCAGGAGCACAGCCAGGCCTTGGGGAAAAAGCAGGTGGAAAGAACCAGAAGCAGCAGAGAGAGGCAGGGAGCTGGCGTGGGCCCTCTGGTCACTGGGCAGCTCAGCAGGGCCGGCTGGGGGAGGGGCCGGCTGGGGGGTTCATGCGAGGACTCTCCCAGCTCAGGACCACTTACCTTCACCTCCTTCTCAATATAGTCGCTCAGCAGTCTGTCTGGCTCGACGCGCTCGGGCAAGGACAGCACCACAGTGTGCAGAGGGCGCCTCTCTGTCACCTTCTCATGGGCTTTCTTATCTCTACTCTTTTCACCTTTTAGGAATACTCGTTTAAATGGCGACACAATTCCAGGCTGCAGGCAGAAATGGCAATGGTTGGAGTTCATTACTTACAGGTGCTTTGTGAGTCCCAACGGCTAACGCACAGAAGTAGCCGAAAGCACTTCCACGGTCCCCATGCAAACCGGGTACAGACGAGCGCTCACGAGCCCTGGGCGCCAGGTCCCTACACCTGGGAAGGGGACAAACGACATCGTTCCAACTCCTCCCCCAGCTCAGGTCCCTGAGAAGGCAGCCAGGAAGCATGGCCGGGGCCAGCGTCCCAGCAGCCAAGGTCGGCCGGGACACGGCTGGGACATGGCCGGGACACGGCTTCTCACCCGACGCTTCCCTCTGGTCAGGCCTCAGGGCTCCAGGCGCCACATCTGGAAATTGACCACCACGGGGAGAACAAGGGGGAAGCGATGATTGGCGGCTGGCTGGACCCCAACCCTAACTGACAGCCTCACGCCCCAGGCAGCCCTACGGAGGGCTCAGAAGGCTAATCCTCTAACCAAAGGAGAGAGAGAGAGGAGAGGAGAGCAGGTGGACACGAGCCTCCCCTCTGGAGCCCAGGACACCGACGTGGGGCCGTGGTGAGGCAGCAGCCCAGTCCTGCCAAGACCACTCCTGTCCTGTCATCCCAAAGGAATACACACCAGGGAAAACAGGACCTGACATACGGCCTCGGAGGCGCAGAGCCCAGGGCTGCTACAGTGCCAGGGAGAGGCAGTGTCAGAGTACTGTGTGCGGCTCCCGCCAGGGAAGGCTCGGAGGGCGATGACCGGGCTCCCGCCAGGCTCGCCCCTGGCACCGGCACACAGAGAAGCAAGACGCCAACAGCCAACTGCCTGCTGAAAGCTCTCCTGTGCATGGGACACCTGGCAGGGCCAGGACCTGTGGGCACCTGGTCAAAGCCAGCAGCTTCACAGACGGACAACCACAGCCCGGGGGGGTTCAGTGGGATTCAGCAGCCACCCCCACCAAGCAGCCTGGGGTCCCCCGCCTCAAGGGGGCACTCCAGCACTAGGGCAGAGGTCAACAAAGGAAACCCCTACAGGTCTCTGCCCTGCCGCCCCCAGCGGCCAAGGACACACGACCCTGCTCCTCAGCTTTGCCTGGACCAAATGAAGGTTAAGGTCAACCATCTGGGGAGTGAACCAGTGAATGGGCCCTCTTCTCCCTGGGTCTCTCCCCACTGACTGTCAGCACTGGCCGGGGAGCAGGAGGTTCGCTCTACAACACAGAGTCCCGGCACCTCTGAGCCTCGTCACCCTCTCCCTGGGCCCCCGCAGCGCAGGGCCCTCTGACAGCACACGCAGAGGTTCCAAGGCCTGACCCTGACCTCTGCTCTAGCACGGGCTGGTGGGCGGAGCTCTTGCCAGCCCCACACAAGCTCAGGACCCCCGGGACATGCAGAGGCCTGACCTTGACTTCTGACTTTGACCTCTGCTCTAGCACGGGCTGGTGGGCGGAGCTCTTGCCAGCCCCACACAAGCTCAGGACCCGGCAACACGTGACAGACTCCGGGCAGGCAACAGACAGCGCCCTGGCTTACAGTGGCCTCACTGGAACTCTGCATCTCCTCGGTGAGTTATCTGGACGGAAACCTACTTACAGAGCCAGCAGCAGGTGGACTTAACGATGGTTCAACTCCTGACTTCTCAAGTTATTAAACTCATTTATTATACAGGTTTAACAAGTTATGAAGTGCATTTTTAATTAATTTACTTATTTGAAAGACAGAGAAAGACACGTCTTCCATCTGCTGTTCCCCTCCCCAAGTGACTGCAAAGCCAGGACCTTCATTTGGGCCTCCGGTGTGGGTAACAGGAACCCAAGTACCTGGGCCATCACCTGCTGCCTCCCACGTGCTCTGGCAGGAAGCTGGGTCGGCAGCAGTGGTGGGACTGGGTCCCAGGCACTCTGACAAGGACGCAGGCTCCCCACGCAGCAGCTCAACCTGCTGGGCCACGGTACCCACCCCCTAGATGAATTTCTGACTTAGCAATATTTTTGAACAACAATGGGTTTGTTGAGCTACAACGTGACACTAAGTCAAGGAGCATCTGTCTGGCCCAGGTCCTTGGGCCCCTGACCCATGGGGGAGACTCAGAGAAGCTCCTGGCTTTGGCCTGGTCCAGTCCTGGCCGCTGCAGCCATCTGGGGAGTGAACCAGCAGATGGAAGACCTCCCCTCACCCCCCTCTCCTCCACCACGTAACCCTGATGTTCAATTAAATATTTTTTAAAAAGAAAACAGGAGTGTCCGTAATGTCAACAGTTACTTTCTATGATGACTTTTTTTTTGAAGATTTATTTACTAGAAAGTCAGAGTTACACAGGAGAGGCAGAGAGAGAGAGAGAGAGAGAAGGAGAAACAGAGAGAGAGGTCTTCCATCTGCTGATTCACTCCCCAGTTGGCCACAACGTCTGGAGCTGTGCCGATCTGAAGCCAGGAACCAGGAGCTTCTTTGGGTCTCCCATGTGGGTGCAGGGACCCAAGGGCTTGGACCGTCTTTTACAGCTTTCCCAGGCCATAGCAGAGAGCTGGATGGGAAGTGGAGCAGCTGGGACTTGAACTGGTGCCCCTATGGGATGCCGGCACTCAGGCGGCAGCTTTACCTGCTACGCCACAGTGCCGGCCCTCCATGACTTTTAACCTTGACAGCCCACTAGCAACCCATCTCTCCTCCGCCTGCCGTCACCACGCAGGTGAGACCAGAGCCTCAGCCTGGTCCACACATCATGACCACAGACTGGGCATCACTGGCACCTGCGTCCTGACGGAGGGCCGCCCCGTGAGTCCCTCACACGGGCCTGCGCCCACCCCTGACCTGGAACATCCACCTCCCCTGGGACAGCCTCTCTCATCAGGAGCAGCGCCCCTCCCCCGCTGCCCCTCAGCACCTCTTGTTGGTGGTGGGGAGGGTCACAGAGGGATCCCCGTGACACAGGGTCCTCAGGGCGGGTGACAGCGGGGCTGGCATGGTTTGCACACAGGCCTTCATCGACTGTTCTCTCTACGCATTTTTATAACTGAAATTGTCTCTATGACTACACACGTGCAGAGGACAGAGCTGAGCCTCCTACAATGTCCAGGACGTAAACTCAGGAAAAGGCCCAAAAACCAGCGCCCAGCAATGCTGGCTGCGGGCGGCTCAGGCTCGGGGCTCAGGGTCTCTGCTGTAAGGAGGCGGGGAGCCCACCCCAGGACGTCCTTCACACATCGTGGTCCTCAGCCCCCCACCAGCTCCGCGTCCCGGGATGAGCACGGGGCAGGGATGCGTCTGGAGCAGGCAGCGGCAGCGTGGGCTTCCCGGGGAATGTCCCCTGTGACCTGGCAGCCGGCAGCCCCGGTAAGAGCCGGGTTTCATCAGCACCCCTGAGAGCCGCTGTCTTCCTTCCTGCCGGCTCCTCCCTGGGCTCCTGGGACTTGCAAGGTCCCGTCCCAGAGCTGAGGGACACGCAGAGGTGAGTGGCTGCGGCCTGGCTTCAACAGCCTCACCTGCACAGAGGGAAAGCTGCAACCCCAGGGCCCACTCCTCCTCATCACCGCCCCCGCGGCAGGGACGGTGCCAGAGTGCTGATGGCAACAGCACAGCCAGGCCGCACGGCCCAGTCTGCCTGCTCTGGCAAAGCTGCTTGTCAGCCTAACTGGTTACTCATGCACACATGGCAGCAACAGGAAACCAACCCTGAACCAGAGACTTGCAAAACCCACCTCTAACCAATAAGCCACACCAGCCAAATCAACAGGCCCACAAACCACATGCAACGTACACTGTTATTTCAACGCTGATGTACAGCTCATAAAATTATAGTCCGCACAGAGAACTACAGTCCGTGCCGGGAAAGAGCTGGGCCCCCAGCCTGCAATCCCGCTGCTAGAGAGAGAGCCTCAGAGACCAGGCACTGAGGCACAGCTGGGCAAGGAAACCAGGACGACCCCACAGCTGCCTCTCAGCACCCAAGGGCCTGGGCCCCCTGTGACCCCAGCAGCCAGCACACGGCCTGCCCGGGGCTGGAGAGCCGTCAGCGCTGCGACTGACCCTTGCCGTGGGTAGAGGACAGACAGCCTCTGCCCTCTGGGATGCCACAGTCAAGCAGGAGAAATGAGACAGAGAAACAGGAACTAAACAGCCAGCCAGGCCACACCGCCCTGGTTTTACAGGTGCTGCCCTGAGCAGCGAGGGACAAAGAGATGATGCAGCCCCTGCTCGAGACCAAAGCGAATTCCGGTTATGCATCCCGAATCCATGACCCCACAGACGGAAAACTGCACACCGACCTCCTGGGACAGGAGGCGGGGAGAACGCGGGCACACTGAAACGCGGTGGACAATCACCTCCAGGCTAAGTGGCCAAGGGGTACGCGAAACACCAGTGAAGCTTCTGCTTGGAGTCGGATCCCACGCCCCAGATATCACACACGCAAACTCCGAAAAAGTCCAAAACCGGGAACATGCCTGGTGTTAAGTGTCCAGGTAAAGGACACGCAGCCTGCAACACTGCTACACACACCACGCCTCCCTGCACACACCCGACTCCCGCGTCACCCTGGACAAAGTGCTAAGAGGCCCCCAGCACGTCCGGGAGTGTACAGGCCCCCGTGTGTCCCGAGGATCAGCTGCAGGTGGGTTTAACGAGACAGCGATGCCCCGCGTGTCCTTAGTCCAAGCTTCAGCCAGTGTTTCGTGAGCACCCTGCAAGTGCTGGACACTCGGGCAGCGACAGGGAAGGAGCCTCCCCATCCCAGGCACCTCCACCTCAAGGGAGAGACAGGGACTGGTGTTGTGGCACAGCAGGTTAAGCCGCCGCCTGTGAGGCCTGCTTTCCACATGGGTGAAGGTTCAA